ATAATAACACCACGTGCCATACAAAACGGTGACTTTTATGGCAATAGGAAAATAAATCTATTGACCCACATAGCATATACGCAATAGCTCCACAGCGTGTCGTTAAATCGGCACACGAAGAGTGCTAGGCACCAAAAACAAAACAACAAACAAACGTACATTTGGCAAGACAAAACAAAAAAATAGGACGCGCGCGCTGTAAGCAATATGCCCCACGCTGGAGCCAAGGAAATGAGCGACGCCCAAAAGTATGCTACGCGTTAGGCAAGGATCAAAAAATAAGCCACAAGCATATCACCCACTCTACAGTGATTCGACAATAACAGGAGCTAAAACAGCAACAACAGCAGCAATGACAACCAAAAGTACAAGCTTAATGTCCTTTGTCAAAAGTAAAAGCTAACAACGTGGCATTGTCAACGTCGTTTCCTATGTAAAGCTGACAAAATATATATTCACATAATTATCTTAGCTAAGCTCAGCTGCGCTCGAGGATACTCGCATACTTTTACAATTAAAAATTTGCTAGCGCCAAAACGAGACAAAAGTATCTGACGCCATTTAGATTTTCGATTACAGATATACCCTAACTACACCCAAAAAGGCGAGCTAGCAATTTTTAGCCTGATGCATTTCTCACTGTCGCAACTGCCAGCAATTGGCTGAGGATTAGGTTTCGGGTCGAGGGATAACTGTATCTGGGACGCGCTTCAAATATGTTTTACGCTCCGTTGATTTTTCAAATTAATTGAAATTGTTTGTTGCCGGGATAAGACTGAAGCCGGATAAGCAAGCCAAGCGCTGACGTCAATTAAATGCGTCGTTCGATAAAACCAAAGCAACTCAAAGCAAAATTTTTCACAAATTTTCCTCCGCTGACGGCTGCTTAATCATGGGCTTCAGTTGCATTTGACATTTTTTTTAGCGGAATCCAAAACCTTGACTTTGATATTGAAAACGTTGAGAAAAAAAATAGAAAGTTGAGGCGCAGCATGTGGTAAATGCACTTTACATGGCTAAATGACCAAAGGTCAAGAACAGAAATTGGATACCAAAGTTGGACAACTTATGCGTTCAGAGAATTTATAGCTATGAAATGAAATCTAATATTAGTAAATAAATTGACAGTAGTATTGCATCTTTAAATTAATTATAAATTAATTACACTTGGATACTTGGTTGGTTTGGCATATATATATAAATATATATACAGATACTTAAGGGTGAATCCATTCTTAATGTGCAGTAAAAGGAATAGACATTAGGGAGCCAGACAACTTACAGAGTTGGGCTCAAAGGCCATTAACGACAACAAGCGAACCCAGTAAGAACTTTAAGTATCTTGCTTCGTCTAGAATATCGCGTGAATGTGTACAAACAAATGAACGTATTAGTAGACAGTCGGTCAGCTAGACGAACATTGCATCAAGTACGAGAAAATAAATAAAGAAAGATATTTCTTTAGCAATTCACCTTTGACTAAATTAAAATGCTCGTCCATCACACTCAAAAACTTAAGTACTTCCTTATATGTAAGTCCCATCCCATTACAACATTGTCAAACTGTCAGTCAGACTGCTCTAAGAAATTTCTCTGATGCAAACATCAACAGCATTTCAATTGGAATAAATGCAGCGACATTTGCGTAGACATGAAAAGAACTAAGTGCACGAAACACATACTTAAACTGAATGCACTTTACAATCATACTAAGCCCAAGCACATACCCATACACATGCACATGTTCGCGTTCATATTCGAATTTGTATTCGTGCTCGTACTTGTCGCTGTGGGTCACAGCGTTGGCCGCACAGTTCCATTGTTCCACACAGTGCCACAGTGCGTATGCGTAATGTGCTGACAAAATCAGCAATGGGTCACGTGAAAGCGCCGACAGCAGCACCAACGAATACAAAAAGCATTCGCTGCATTTCCATGACGCTTAATGCACAGAACTAGATAGTACCCACAACATTTCATTGCCATTGTCAATGGAGCTTCTGCCTGGCAACAGTTTTGCATGCATTGTCTCAATTGCAATCGCCTTCAAAATCAAATCGAAGCATTGAACCTTTTGACTGACAACCCGATTGACTGACTGACTGACTGACCGACTGACCGACTGACTGACATAGTTACATATAATTTTGATTGATTTATGCGCTGATTTATTTTTGTGTAGGTATTTTATATTTTATTTATTTGCACAAAGTGCGAAGACTGTGTCTGAACGCTGTCGTCGCAACGCTGCCAGCCTGCAAATCGATCTGAATTGGAATTGAAATTGGATTCAGAATGACATCGCATAAAATTCATTAAATTCCAAGCCAAGTCGCTCAACAAATTCAGGAAAGTCGCGCATTGCAAACGAAAGCGAGCAGGGAGACTTTAACAGTCGCATAGAAATCTCGTTTCTCGACTCTCCGACTCTCTCTAACATCGCAACAAATTTATTGTATTAGCTGGAATGCATTTCCATTTCAAAAGCGACCCTATGAATAGAAAATCATTGTTACTCAGTGAGCATTGTTGCTGCGGATGCTGATGCTGTTGCTGCTGTTCTATGTCACCTGTCAGACAATGTCCAGGTTTGTGGAATGTAGCACAATTCACCTGCGGTGACTTTCAATGCCATTCTGGATGCGACTTTGCAGCTACTTTTCCTACTTTTCCTGCTGTCACTGCTCACTTTCGCTGCTTGAACTCTTCAGCATTCAGCGTGCCTTTTGTACTTGGAAAAGCGGAAATTGTTTTAGCTGCAAATAAATTTTGTTATCAACAAAGTTTTTTCCCCAAAGTAAGAAGAAGCATCAGCAAAGCCGAATAAACTCAAGGCCTGAGCGTAAAAAGTAGCAAAAAAGTTACGTTGAGCAGGCCCCAAATAAAAAGTTGCATTAATAGAATTTACCTTAATATTTGGCAAAGCATACAAAAATGTTAGGTTTTAGTAGAGGAAAAGCCAAGAAATTTGGACTTGTCTAAATTTAACGTCCTACACTAATTTATGACTTTTATTTAACCTATTTCTATATCATAAAAAATTAAACAGATCTATTATTTTTGTATATGGTAAGGCATGACATAAGAACTGTGTATCTTTAACATTCTGAAGCCGGAACTAGTTCAGATACTTTGCTATTCTTGCTATTAAAATTAAGTCCGTCTGGTTAGACTTAAACTATATTTTACTTAAAGCCTCAATCCTATTAGTCAGTCAGAACTACATATTTTTATTATATTACGTTTTATGTGAGTTCTTAAAAATATACTTTAACATTACTTATTTAATGAGTGCATGAAAGAGAGATCTCCGGCTCCATAATGTGATCAGACATGCATGTGGATGTATCCATTTCCGTCTCTTTGTCTGCTTCCTTCTATGCAAACTAGTTTTTCCATTTTGGATGTAACTTGCCTTGACTTTGTGTATCTTTATGCGCAGACAATACGAATTGCTTTGCCAGCCAAAGAAATGATTGTTAGAAAATGGCTTTTTGTTTTTTAAATTATCTGAAACAAACTAGATACCAATACTTTTATTTGTATCGAACTGCTAAATGGTTATATAGTTATGCAATGCAATATTTTTAGATATTACCTAACAACTAAATGGAAATCCACCCATCTTAATTTCCACTTCTATTTAAAATATGTTTTAAGTGCATCGAATAAAGAACCAAGTCACTTCCGCCCACATTTGTCTTATGGTGAGAATTTATTTATATTATTTAGTTATAAACCCAAGGAAGCTCTGATTATGCGAAAAGTGTGAAGCGTGGCAACATCTCATTGAAAATTTCAGCTCTTAGGATTTGGGCTTTACGTTGATCACCAATCAATCAGACAAAAAGGGCAAACAGTTACAAGGGTGATCGCCTAAAATTTGATTTTGTTTTTCAATAAAACACCATTTTAAGACTATTTAATCTTCAAGCGAAGATCAGGTTTTTGATCGCTCTCACAAAGTATATTTTAATTAGCCACTAAGGCACGTTCTGTCAGAAAGATCTTTGAGGGTGCCTTCTTTGCACTGATTTAAGTCAGGCTATATTTGCAGTAAGCGTAAAGCATTTTAAATTAAAGCTGTACCTGTTCATACCCTTTAATGTAATACTTAGAAACTATTGCGAAAAGTGGCTTGAGGGTGTTCAAGAGCCTTTAGCACAAGAATTTTCATTCAAATTATTAAAAACTTTGCCCACAAATGCGCTGCGATTGGATTGCGATTCAAATTTGTATACCCTGAACTCATTAAAAATGGGTATAAGGCTATATTGTCTTTGTGCAAATGTATGTAACAAGCAGAAGGACCCCATAAAGTATATATATTCTTGATCAGCATTAATAGCCATATCCGTCTGTCGGTCTGTTTGTCTGTCCGTATGTCCGTATGTATGAACGCAAAGATCTCAGAACCTATTCGAGCTAGAGAAATTTTAGATGTAGGTGCTCCTAGTACCTGCGCAGATGGAGTTTGTTTCCGATAATCGATAACTTACTCCGTTTCCAAGCAATCGATAAAAATCGATATCGATATCTTGTTTTTGGCCAATTTTGGTAAATAATAAGAGCTAGAGTCATCAAACTTGCATTTGATGTTTGAAGAAGAGGGTTCAGGGTATCCCCAAGCCGGGAGCTGCCGACTAGAACCTCTTACTTGTTTAAGCTTTAGCTTTGCTTCATCTTAAGTCTGACTACAGGGCAAGAAATCTAAAGATTTAAATACTTATTTTTATGAATTTTTTTGTCTTGTTCACTCTTTAATGTATATTTTTCTAACTCAACTTTCCGTCAACAAGCTGTGCGATCAAAGCACGCTTAACCTTCTCACATAGTTAATCAACTTGGCACTAAGTGCTCTGCCTTTTCTATTCTTCTCTTAGCTGCCATTCTCTACGCAGTCACATTATGCAATTTGATTTACTTGAGCGTGTCTGAAATAATTTCAAGTGACGTGACAATTTTGCATATTCATATTTAGTCGTCGAGTTGACATCGGCTCCCCCGATTTGCCGGAAAAATCAAGGGCTGGGCAAAACAAAAATGCAGCAAATTATTTATAGCCCGGGTAGAAATGTGTCAGAGAATTCACGCTGCAGGAACTGCAACTCAGTGCCAATTAATGGCTACGAGAATTGCTATCAAGGACATTGAGAACTGTCAAGGACGAACCACACATGCGCTGGGGCCACAGGAGATAGTGTACGGAAATTGATTTGCACCAATTACTTTTCGATGAAAACATTTCCTTTTTGATTGCCCATATGGCTATATGGGCTTATCCAAAGGTCAAAAGTGTCCAAGTTGCGTTCTCTGTCTCTCGCGCTGCTCCTATCTCTTTCATTGACTAATTGAATTGTTGAAACTGACGGTGAGACAATTTGGGCCGAGTTTAACGCACGCCTACCGCGCCGACTGACTCAGCATTTGACAAGTTGTCAACTTGTCAACACAAACAACAAAAACAGCAACACCCACAACAAATATTTGTAAATATTGACGAATTGCCTGAGAAACATGAACACCGAATGCATTTAATTAACAAAGCTTTTGGAGTGGCATCAAAAACGCTTGAGTAGCATTTTGCATAACTTCTTGGTATTCTCCGAGTGCGTCATTTTTGGCCAGGTATACTTGTACAAGTTGCTCTATTTATAGCACGCTTGCCGCTTATGCAATGCCAATGGCAATGCAATCTGGCTTGGGCTCTGACTTAACGCCGTAATTTTTCATTTGGCAATTGTTTATTTTTTCCTCTTTTTTTCTTAATTTTTGAAGCAACGGGCCCACTTTGTCTGGCATTGCCAACGCCCACTGTTATAACCACAGTCGACTCTTTGGTTTTCGACCCGTCAAATTTGGCCAGTTGCTCTTCTCGCCGCAGCAGCAGCCACAGCAGCCGCCGCTAGTCTGGTCTTTTCTGAGGTCTCACTGTGCGTCTCTTCATCTCCAGCTCGGCGTCCGTCTCGGCATCGGTTTCAGCTCGACGGTTTATTGTATTGGCCAAGTTGTGTGAGCAAGAGGAAGAGCATGACATCAGCCGACGGCGGAATCACAGCTCAAATGTTGTGGGTAAGCCAGTAAATGGGTTGCGGCTAAAATATAGCGGGCGTGGGTGGTGTCATAAAGAAGAAAGCTGTTATCATATAATTTTACATACACCCTATAGCTGAGGTCAAGCTGCTTAGCTAAGTCACGATATAACATCAAATTTGATTATTACTTAATATAAAACAAAAACTAAAATAAATAAATAAAAACCACTAAAATAATCTAAAATCAAACTGTAACCCAATATACTTTAATCAAACACTTTTTCTAGGTACTCTCCATACAACAAATATTGATTAATTCCTATAAAGTACTCTTATTAGTCATAAATATACAATCATAAGTTGTGGTTAATGTTAAATTTAAAAGTATTTAGAATTAATATTACAGGCCACAGGCCAAGTGTTAAATATTTACAGTTATTCGGCATTAAATTAATATTCAAATAGACATAGACATAGCTTCTTGTCATATTTTAGAATTGTTTCCACTTATTAAAATAAAATGCATACATATACAATTAATATATGTATCGACCTAAAGAGCTGTACGAAATAATTCTGAACATATTTCCACTGCCTCAATCGAAAGAAGCTAATAGCTTAAGCGAAAATTCAATAAAAGTTTGGCCGCATTAGCGTATTGTAAGTTCGTCTCTAAACTGAAAGTCGAGTTTGCTGACACATTTTCAGCTGCTGATTTTTATATTCTGTACGCCGCCAGTTTGGCTAATAACCGATATAAAAACTAAACAAAAATGTATGAAACAAATTGAGCAAAAAAGCACGAGGCAACAATACTGTCGAGCGGACTGCTGAAATAACAAAGCCAACAAACAAACTAACAAATAAACAAACAAATAGATGCAAGAACGAAGTGAAATCAATAAAATTCTTGTAGTGGCGCTTGGGGGCAGTCAGAAAAGTCAAAGGCACTGCAAATGCCATTAATAAGTGGCAAGCCCCAAACACAACGTTTCTCTTTATGATGCCATAAAATGTCAAGTTTGGTCAATGCAGACCGCGATTTATTACATATATTCTTTATATATTTTTTGCTGAAGAGCAAAATGCTGAGTGTGAAAATGTTTTGTGAATGCGCTAAATTAGCTGTACTATACATCAAATTTGTAAAATATTTAAAAAGCGTATGTGTTCAAAATAAACAAAAGGCTTAGCTGGCAGTTCAAGCTCAAGGCAAAACAATTGAAGATACATGAATGAGAAGATTGTACAAAAATAACAAATACGGCAAATTGAACTGACTGACTGACTGATTGGCACATGCAGGCGCCAAACCTACAAAATAATAATAAAAAAAAACAACTACAAGAAACGGAATGCAAAAACAGTAAACATCAGCAGTAGCTTCAAAAAGTGACATACACCAATTAGCAGCCGGGTTCAACTTGATGTCGTCATTGCCTGCATCGGATTCGTGTGCTTTAGTTCGGGCTGGTGTCGAGGGGGCGAGGGAGCCGCACAGTCATGCGGCCGGCTGTTTTTGTTTTTGGCAAGCTCATTCATTTGCTTTATTTACGGCTCGCAGCACGCTGGCCATGCTCGTGCTGCAGCACTGCACCACATTGCGTATGCGCGATAAATAAGGCATGTTAAGAGTAGTGTCACTGTCAGATAACAATATTTAGAGGCCATCCACAATCCCTATAGCTCTCTCCCAGCCTCTCTCTCTCTCTCTCCTCCTGTCTTTATCTGTATTTAAATAAAGTTCTTTAATGCTGTCCCTCTATTGGTATTTTGGTAGGTGTAGAAAATATATCAAGCATACGGATAATCAACCCCCGCAAAAAATAAGTGCAGGTCTTTAAAACGGTGGCAAAATTGAAATTTAGATTAGCGGATATAATTGGCTTGCAAATATCATTCGCTATGATACTGTTTATTAGCCACATATAATACTCATGACTAGCTGATGAATTGACTGTTTGAATGACTGAATAACTGTTCGACGCCCATCTTAAGTCATAGGAGCTGGAAAGCTGCCCATTTTTTTAGTATTTATCTTATCTCCCACAAATATGTAAAATCTAAAGGAAAGAGTTAAAAGAGTTTTGTTTTTTTATTTTTTTTTTTTTACCAGACAAACAACCTCAAACACATTTGCAAAGGCTTTTTGAGGTGACTTATTGTGGACGTGTTTAACACTTCTTGCAAAATCCATCCGTGGGTCCAAGGCTATACAGGCGAAAGTTTAGTTTGTCTTAAGATAGTTTGTTTTAAGGTTCAACAAATTTCATTATTATTTTCTGTTCTCTTGAAGAAAAAACAGTTTTTTTAATTCCGTCATCTCTGTCAAAGGAAGGATTTTTTTTAATAGTAGAGAGTACTATGCGGTTCTTATAAATTCAAATGAATTACAATTTAATAAACATTTAATGGTAAAGCAATACTTGTATGAACAAATATTTCTATTTCTTATTGTTTACCTGAGCAATTAATTTATTTTAATCATTATTGCATTTACAACTTTGCTGTAAAATATATATATATATTTTATTTTATATTCTAGAGCTTGTAAAGTCTTAACATAACCCTAAAGATATTTAGTGCCATAGAATTGATGTTATTAAAGACGTTGAGCTGCTTTCTGAAATTAGGAACAAGTCAAGTTACCCGTTTTTCCATGAAAATGTAAGAACTACTTCAAGTCTGATTGCAAATGTCAAGTATTTTCATGCAAACGCAACTTACACAAAGAACCAATGGAAATTTCATCTGCGCTTAACAGACAACTTATGCACCATCACATAAGACCGAAAAGTAGCTTATCGTACTGTTAAATAATTAATTACATAACAAATATTATTTAAATAATGTTTTTATTGGATTTTTTTTATATAATCATATGCTTAACAAAACCAAAATGTACTTCCCAATCACAATATATACTAATATGTGTTGGAGAAACATATCGCATTAATTGACTGAATCTATTGCAATCTCTATTATTCCCTGAATCAAAAGCCACTGGGCTGGCCTCATTAAAAAGTGTATATCACATTTGCCAGATAATTTCATGCAATTAAACACGGTGCCATGCAATTACAAGATCACAGAACAGCTGATCTTGCCATTGAAATTGGTTGCCTGAAAAAATGAATAAATGAGTCGCCAAACTCTCGCTGCTTGTGTTGTACTTTTTGATTTCTAAATCCCACAATTGAATCATTTGAAAGAAGATTCTATTTTTTGCTTCTTTTGTTATTTTCATTAGCATTCAACAGACGCTGTCTAGATTTTTTTGTGTTCGTGCTCTAAATGTGGACTGTTTCATTCGCACAATTTGTTGTATAGGTTTTAATGATACCCTGTAGCCATCAAATAGGTACCATGTATTGTAGTTAGCATATAAAATGCGCAGGAGTGAATAAATACATATGTGTAAATTTTTCATCTTAACTTTACAGTAGAATTTTTCTAGTCAAATTTAAATTATTAGAAATTATTTAAAAATATATTCTAACGATTATTCATGCAATATCCTATAGGGTATCTAGTAGTCCTTATTTTCTCATTCTTGTGCGTTTTGTTAATGGCTTGCTTGTGCACCTCCAATGACATAAGCTCTGGCCAGCTGACTTTTATCTTTGGAATGGGACTGGCAAGCATTGTATTACACTCTGGCTGACTGGGTGCTTAATTAGATTTGATTTTTGTGCGGGAAAGTAAATTTTTTTTAGTGTTTTGGCAACGACTCTCGGTGGCACTCGGCTTTATGGTTCTAAGGCGTGTCGTCGAATGGAAAATTAAACAAAACAAAGGCAAAAGCAGGCAGCAATTAAGGCGAACGCAGCTGAAGCTGGCACTGAGCTGAATCAAACATTAAACAGACAACTGGGCAGTGCCAGGGGCAGCTACCGAGTCATCAGTCTCATCATTAGTAATTAATCGAGCAGTCAACTGAGCGACCCAAAAAATGAGCCCAGTTTTTGGCCAGAACATGGCTGTGAGCGATAGACCTAGAATTATAATATTTCTAACAAGTTCTACAGCAGCTACCAGGTTCTTAGGTTGACGCCAGTTTGTCTGGTTAAAATTTAACTTTGAACTAGTTTTGTGACTTTTAATTAGCTTAAGTCAGGGCTAGTTTTTTCCCTTTTTTATTTTTAGCCACAGCCGCTCACAAAATCCAATGAATCTAGTTGTATTTATTGTGTATCTTTAATTCTTTTTGGATTTTTTTTTAATTTTCGTTCGATCTCATAAATATTTATGCGCTCGTTCGATTTGTTTTATGCACACACATGTGCGTCTGCGAGGGCTGCGTGAAACTTTTGGAGGGCGCGTCATAGGCCTCAACTGAAGTGGAAATTAGGCGAAATTGTTTATAGTAGCGGGAAATGACTTGTAGTTTTTTTTTTTTTTTTTAGCAGTTGTGCAGTTTGTTTAATTAAGAACATTTTTCTTGGTCTTTAATGTTCTGCGAATACAACTTGTACGTTTGTATTCTACATAAATTTTGTGCTGATATGGGAATACTTTAGTTCCTAAACTCTTCTGCATTTTGGAAAATTTGAAATAAATCTGTTAATCGTTTTACTATGCACAGCTCGGTCACAACATCTTAAGCTGGTTTTCGATGGCGGCAATTTCGAGACCAAACAAATCAATTTTAAAGGTCATAATTTCGTAACAAAAACAACAGACGAACCCAAACAAAAAACCAAAAACACCTCAATGAGGTGTTAATAGCTTTGTATGTTCAAAACGATATTTTTCTTTATGTAAAATATCTACAAATATTATATGCAGGCGCTTTGCTAATTAAATATAAATAAAAGTTATTTTTGGAGCTGATAATTTTGTTCTAAAATAAAACAACATATTTATGACTATTTCAAAAACTGTTTATAGATATTGCTAATTCAATTAAAAATTATTACGTCTGAGATGATTCCCTATTCTTTTATAAAAATCAAAATATAATTATAATAAAAATAATAATGCGAAAAATAATTTGAAATAACATTTTATTTTGTAACTTAATTTAGTGTTTGTAGACATCTATAAATATATATATATTATATATAAATATATATATAGATCTGTTACAATCGAAAAGTTGCAAATAACACCAGATGGACCTGTTCGCGACATACCGTTTGTTATAGCACTCGTGAACATGTTTCGCCTGTTTGTGGTTTCATCTTGAAAACTCAAAAAACAAAACACAAAATGTTGAATTTTTTTTTGTGAAAATTAGCATGTTAAATCATTAAACATGACACATAACAGACGCCATAGTTAATTTATGCAAAAGCTTTTTTAAATACCACAAAAAAAAAATATAGAAACAATAAAAAAAAACCGAAAAGCATAAGTATAAACAGCCGCGCAACTTGACCATCGATATGGAAATATAAGCTTCAATTAAGCTTAAAACTAAAAACAAAATGCTGCGGCTGGCTGGGCTAAGTAAAGCAAATCCACATTAATTAGATACGGCTCGGTTCTCATAAATAAATAAACAGCTAGATCGAAATAAAATTGTACAAAACTAGCACACATAGAAGTTGGCAAAAAACATAACATATGAGTCGTCCATTGATTGCGTTATTTATTATACACGTCCCATTCCCTGTGGCCCCTTCATATATATGGCATAAAATCATTTTAGGCATTTATTGGGTGCCCCAGACCGAGGGCTCAGCACGGAAACCCAAGTGAGGCCCTACACGCGCCTCATTTGGCATGCCAATCAGCTGTCGCGCTTATTGGCTGAACTCCACAGCCCCAGCTCAGCCGTAGCTTAGTCGGAAAAAAGGTGGTGGTGAGCGGGAGATGAACGTGAACGTGGTCGGTGGCAGCTTCAAGCGGAAGCATTGCCCAATTCGTTTGGCATTCTGCGCAACATTCGCGTGCCGCATCTCGTTGCTCTATTGTTTGGCCTGTTATTGATGCCAGCTACATGAATTTTGGCATGGAAATGCATGACGCTGACACCTCTTTTGCATTTGTAATGTGACTTTCACAAGCCTCTGCTGAATGCCACACTGACAAATAAGTGCGGAAGTTAAGCGTGCCTCCACAACAGAAATGCAACAGAAAATAACAATACGAAAATGTTGTAACGAATATAGGAAATATAAAAGGAGAAATGACAGCTAACAAATTTTAATCAGATTAAGTCTATGGGCATCATATCTATTTATGTCTATTTATAGATCTGAATTAAAAATGCAAATATTTCCTAATGTAAAAGCAAAAGATTAAAATTGAAAAAAAAATATTTTTTCCTTACTTATTTATATTTTCATTATATATACAATAAATTAATTTATTTTTTGTACATATTTTTTCTAATAAAAACATAATACGTATTTTTCTTAGGAAATGTGGTTAGTTTACCTATAATGAAATTAAATAACTTTTTGCACAATATTCATAGACTTTACTGTGTCCAATGAAAGTCATATAAAATGTGTGAAAAATTTCATTTGATTATTATTTCGTTCAAATTAAAGACCTACAACACATATGTATCTATTGAATATACATTTTTAACTAATGGGTGCTTAAACATCGGGTTTGTTAATGTCAAAGTGCGTATACTAAATGTACAAACCCAAAAACTCGTCTCTTCCTTTTAACAGAAAACAAGAAAATAATTGTATAACATACATATATATTTTTTCTTATGAAAATGTCTTTTAATTACTTAAAAATAGCATATGCCTCGCTGAAAAAATTAATAAAAACTGTTAATCAGAAAAAATTGCCTACTTAAAAAAAAATAACAAACTTATATATAAAAATTTCAAACCGTACAGCTCACAAAGAATACCTATAAAATATACGTAAATTAATATGTAAAATAATTAAACGGACGAGTTTATTAGCGAGATGCCCTTTACCCAGTTTTAAACTGGAGAATTTTTAATGTGAGACAAAAGCATTCACTAGGCCATAAAAAACATACAAAAGACAAGAGACGATATGGTCAATTAAATAGCTCTCTCGGCCAGAGTCCAATGTGGTGAAGAGACCGCATGTCGCCGGGCACCAGACCCGGAGCTAAAACGCATTTAAGCTAGACAAATGAAAATGCCAGTCACTGCCAGTTCCAGTTGCCAGTTGCTCGGTTATGTGATGTCTCAGAGTACTTTGACTAGGTGCAAAGTTCAGGCAGAGACGTCGTTCCGGCGTTAGCTGATGACTTCACGCGCCGTCTAGAGAAAGAGTAGACGGCGCAGACGTCACAGTGAACCACTTGAAACGAGTGTCGAGTGTTTTGAACGGGCCAAGCAAATTGCATTTCCAGGTGCACTGAACCTTCCCATTTTATGTGCATACAGTCGATAAGCTAACCAGAAGCTGCAACAACTTCCATCTATTCATAGCCACCGGATTTTGTGGGGACCGTCATTCCACCTAATCTTTTGAATTGAAAAACCTTAAGCTTTAAGTTCGGGGCGCAATTAAATAATATAAATGTTCAATGCTGGCAGCAAAAGGTTGTCACCCACACGACACTACCCACCATAAAGTCGCTCAACTCTTTTCGGCCAGGTCAACAGCAACTACTTTAAAGTCTCTGCCAGAGCCTGATTGACCCTCTTGCAGTGCATTGTCACCGGATGTGAAGGTCATAGGAATTGCTCTCTGGTTGCCAGCTTATTTGTTTTATATTCCATTTCTTTCGCATTTTATTTTTCGCAAAAACAGGCAAAAACGTTACTGCTGCTACTGAGCGATTTACAAGCTTTCCAAATTTATTTACCTGCTATACACACAAGCACACACCCACACGCGCACACAGTTTTTGTGAGTGTTTCTGGGCGACCAATCGATTTGTCACCTTAATGGCGCGATTATTATCATTTGTCTTAAGCCGAAGCTGAAACTAATTTGGCACAGCTCCAAAAGTGTCACCCACATCGGGGTTGTCAATTTTAATCCTCAAGATGCCAACTAAGCGATACAACTTTTAATCAACTATGAAATAAGTATATTTCAGAAAAAATAATCAAACAATGAAGTTTTTTCTTTGAATTCGCAATACTTCTTAATTAACAACAATTGAATGCTTCTTCTCAGCATGACTATGCATTAATTAAGAAATTTACTGGTAATTCTGGAAAATCAGTGTTTGTGTTTGGCCTATTTTACTGGTAATGCAAATTACCGGGGATTCTCAATAATAAGCATATTTAAGAAAAAATAATTAAGAGACACACCTTATTGTGCTAAAAATTTATGGCTTAACAAAAAGAAGAAACAACTTCATAAAGCTTAAGATCAGCTCGATTCACTATTCATACAAAAAAAGAAAAGAAAGTGTATATAACACCACCTTATTATATAATTGTCTAAATATACGTTTCATCCAGTATTAATACACATATATTTATAATATATAACGAAGCGGTGGCGTAATTCCCATAGAAATTTCTGACAGATTTCGCACATATGCAATACTTGCCCATTTTATCAATGAAAATGTACCACATTTTAAGCATTATTTGAGAGCTAAGATATTGACAGCCTGCTGTCAAAGGCACATGAATCAGCGAAAGTAATATAAGTACTAGCTGGTATATTCCGGCCTTGCCCGGTCAAATTTCTTTGCTTCCAGTATTAAACAAAAATTACTACATTGAGATCCACGTCTAATTTCTTAGTTTACACATTTATTTGAAAGTTAATTTGAATTTGGTTAAGAGGCTGGAATCGATGTTTCTCGCCAATTTTAGGCAAGTCGTGAGAATCATTAAGCCGACAAAAAACTTTCATTTATACAAAGTTTGGCCCGCATTTTCCATCCAACTGAACTGGATTTTGCTAAAAATGGGTGATACGCATTAAATTGATTTTTAAAAAACATCTTTAAAAATAAGTTTAAGTCCGATCAAAAAGTTATACACAACCGTTTCCCGCAAATTTTCCACAGTTGTAGGTGGATTTTCTAAAATGGGTGAAACAATTTGGACGAAACTTTAAAATTCGCTTCGATTTTGATAGCACCAGAGAATTGAAATTTTCCAAAAAATGTGAAACACGTCCCAAATAAATTTTCTAAAAGATCTTTGAAAATTATTTTGAGGTCGATCGGATGGTAAACAAGAAAAATCTCATACAACCGTTTTCCTCTATTTTTCCACACTAGCTTCCAATCAGTCTGTCAGAGGCGACAGACGGTTGTATATATAGCGATGTATAGGTACATTTAATAATGGCCAAATTTCACTGTGCAGCCTTTTAAGTGGCCACGGATTATTCCAACAGCGCATACCATGCAGCGCATAGCCATTTTTCTACAAAATTTTTGGACTTCTGTTTTTCTTTTGAATTTTAAGCGGCGTAAACAAAACGCAGCCAGCGAAGCGCCATTCGGAAATGAGCGGAAAAAATTGTATTATTTGTCTTATGGGCAACATAAATAATAGAAGGAGGAACAAATATTGAAGTGTGCGCAGAACGATTCGAAAAACTACGCTAGACACATAAGCACTCCAACAGTTTTTTATTTACATTAATTGCGAGTTAATTGCGCCAAGTAGAAGGGCACAGACCATGTAGAGCAAGAGCTAAAATATTAACTCATTTAGCACACAAACAAATTTATTAAATACTGCAGATTAATCAAATTTTAATGTGTTTTGTTTGTGACTGTGAGTGGAAAAGTTTTGCCTAATGGAAAAGCTTGACAGCGGCGGAAATATCTTTCGACACAGTTTCCAAGGGGGGGTTAAGGCTGCTGGCAGCTGTCAAAGTTATTTTTCACTTAGACAATCCATCGCACCCATTCAGCGTCACATAGCAAAAACAAACGCTGTGGCACGTGCCGTGCGCTAAGCCACAAAATGTTGCATGTTATGCGGCTGCTGTAAATTCAATTGCAGTCACATGACAATGCAATAAAAATTGAAACTGCTGCTGCCCTTTTTGGGGGCAACTTGCAACCGCACGCAAGCGCCAAGTCCCAAGCCCCAAGCGCCAAACACCAAGCCCCGAACCATAACCGCAACCTGATATCAAAGAGCTGCAATGTTGGCCTGGAACGACCTTGACTTTGCCACCACCAATGGCCGAGTTGGCTGTCGAGTCGAGTTGACTTGGCCGATTGCTTCATTCGATTTTATAACTGCAGCTTGTGCATTGTTTGTTTGTTCACTGCTTCGTTATTTGGCTGAATAGTCGCTTTGTTCGCATTTGTGTATTTGTGACTGGCTTCAGTTTTTTGTGTTTTTCAACTTGATCATTTCTGACAAATGGTTAAACCACAGCCCGCCTGCATATCGATTGGCATGACGCCATTTGAATTTCAATAGTGCCACGAGCCAATCGAAACAGGTGGGCTAACCTCATCTGCAGTCCCAATTTCAGTTAAACCATCCCCAGTTTCAAACCATATTTTTTAAAACAATATCCTTGCGAGCTGCACCCCAACTCGTGAAGCGATGTTGCATAATCGATGTCGTTTTTCATTTCCACACGCCACCTCAGTCCACCCAAACACCCACATCCAGTCAGTAGAGCCAGAGCTCCAGATGGCGAAAACCAGGCAAAATAGTCTACAATATGATTTTTGCTTCAGTGCACTTTCGCCCTGCAGCTATGCACTGAGTATAGAGTGGTTTTTCGTATAGTGTTGCAATCACAGTGGTGACTGCTCGTGATGATATCGTTTTTGCGATTTCTATAGGTTGACTTGAAAAATAAAAATTGATTAGATCTTTAAAAGTGTTATTAACATAAATGTTGATAATATTAAGGCTGAGGTATATACGAAAATATAGATCAGATTATAAAATTGCATAAAGCCTAGCGCCCTAGAATTGAGGTAACATTTTAGTTTTGAAAAAAAAAATCGAACGAAATACGTATCATTGTGACAACTATTCATACAAAACATTGACTGTATCTACTATGGGACCAATTGTACCGTCACTTCCGAAAGTTCTTAAGCATTTATATTTAGATAAAAGCATTTCAGGTACTGGGGCTGGGTGTACGACCTAAATAAGATTTGCCTAGCAAATCATCCTAAGATAAGGATTGCATACGATTGGGTTGTGTGAAATACCACAGAAGTAAAGTGAACTTGTACTAAAATATCTATCTTTTTTATATATATTAAATTGACAAGATCTAAATTTCGATGAAAATAATATCTTTAAAATTTGATTACAAAGTGCGTAATTTATGATCAGTCACAGATGAAGCCATTGCATCGAACAGTCATCATATGTGACTCCCATGTCTTAAGATTGCCACAATAGAGCTTGTAGGGGATTTTCACTAAACACTCATTCGGCAGAATTCATCACAATGATAGCAAGCAACGAGGGAAATCACTGTGAACAATCACCGTCGAGCAATACTCTGTTTTTGCTCGACACCAGGACGACGAAATAAAAAATGCCGTGAAGCGTGAAGCAAACGGTAAAGGCACTGCATTTCATTTTGCGTGTGTGTATGTGTGTGGGTAGGTGTGTAAGTGTGTGCACATGTGTGTGCACGAGTGCATGCGGCTGGGTGGCTCGGTGGTTTTTGTGGCTTGTGGTTAACCTCTAAGAGTTGTCGTGCGCCCGCCTGCACACCACACCCGGCGCACTTCATTGCCACTTTGTTGGCTGCCGCCTGGCGTGAACTGCAAAACTCTGTAATTTTCAGCAACTGACGTGAGCTTAGCTGAAACCAAGAACAACAAGCGTGGATGTTGTTGTGAATTCGGCTTGCTCAGTTTTTACCCTTGTGGCACATGTGGACCCAGCTGTTTGCCAACGAATGCATCTTTAAGCATAATTCGAGCTTGCTCTGCCTCTATCTCATACAACTTTAATTAGACCAACCACAAGAGAGTTTCAGTCGATATGTCGGTGGTGCATGAGCTTGCACAGCCAGTGCCACAGATAGTGCCATTGTTTTGAAATTTATTTACAACACAGAAACGGCACAGCATGTACTTTTATTTATTTATCTACAAATCAATACTCCTCAAAAGCCATGAAATTTCGTAGGGTTATAGATTGATAAGAATTGATTACATATATAACTTATTTCCAAATAATGCATATCATAACACATCGGTAAAATAATTATTGATTCACTTCAATTAAAAATCTCTTACTCATTCTTGTTTTTAAGATATAGCGAATGGTCTTTGATCTGAATTATTGCCTGTATAACTAAAATAATTCATTTCTAGAGTCTCATAAACAAATTACTTACCTGCTTTATCCTTAAATATGATTTCAGTTTGATATACTTAATTTAAGATTTAATTAAAATTCATGGCTAAACACCAAGTATTTGTACTAAGTAGATGTCAGTAAATGCCTCGCTGTAGAGTCGAATAGTAATTTATAATGAGATACAACATTTATAATAAATAATCATAAATAAGATGTAAGCATCTTTCAAAACAGGCTTCAATTCTCTACACTTATCGAACCAATTTTTATAATTACAATAATATTGCAAGCTTAATTGTAAATCATTAAAATCTTAATGTAATTTATTAAGTTATGTTATTTTAGCCACGCACGGGTTACTGACCACATTAAATACAAATATTTATCAGATATCAAAGTATCTCAATCGAAACCCTAGCTGTATAAATTAACAGATTGATTTATGCACACAAAATATATATGAATATATATATTTCTCTAATCTCTGCTAAAGTGCAAGCCTGAAATAAGCCGAATTCAGACAATTTACACAGATTACG